GAAAAGGAGATTGAGGTGGAAGAAGCTGTCAAAGAAGAGGAAAGGAAAATTACTTTAAAGTCAAAGAATCTAATAGATACTGAAGTGAAAGTAACTCCAGCACCATTTCCTTCAAGATTAACCAGTATAAAAAGAGAACGAGAAGATGATGAGATCATGGACATGTTCCAAAAGGTTGAAATCCACATTCCTCTTTTATATGCTATTACACAAATTCCTAGATATGTTAAGTTCCTTAAGGAACTTTGCACATCTAAAAAATAGCTTAAAATAAATCAAACGGTAAAAGTTGGGGGAAACGTTTCATCCGTGTTACAAAAATGGCTACCAAAGAAATGTAAGGATTCAGGTGTATTCACGGTTTCTTGTAAAATGGGTAACCTTTTTGTGCCACGTTCCATGCTTGATCTTGGAGCATAAATTAATGTTTTACCTTAATCAAGCTATAATATAACGGGAATTAGACCTCTAGCCAAAACCGAAGTCATAATTCAACTTGCCGATCGATCTTTGGTACATCCAAAAGGTGTACTGGAGGACGTATTAGTGCAAGTTAATAGTCTTGTGTTTCCCGCTGATTTTTATGTGCTTGATATGGGAGATGATGACCAAACCTCAAGTTCCATACTTTTAGGTAGACCATTTTTAACATAGCAAGAACAAAAATTGATGTCTACAATGGTACATTGTCTATGGACTTTGATGGGGGAAGTCATTAACTTTAATATCTATGAAGAAATGAAGTATTTAAGTGATGTTCATTGCATAAATTTTGTTGATGTGATCCAACCTCTGATTGAAAAGTGTTTTGAGTTGACTAACCATGATTATTTGGAGTTAGTTTTGAGCAGAACTTTTAATAACAGTTTAGTCAAAGAAATTGCAGCAAATTACACGCTTGATGAGGAATTACTAGAAATTATGGAGTTCATGGAAGAAATGAAGGAAATGAGGTATGGTAATAACAAGTTGAAATTGCCCATTTCTAATACAAAACTTCTTCCTTCTGTTGTGCAGGTACTAAAGCTAGAATTAAAGATTCTTCTTGAGCATTTGAAGTATGCATATCTTGGAGAAGAAGAGACATTGTCTGTTATTATCTCTAATAAGTTGTCCAAAGAAGAAGAAAATAAGTTGGTAAATTTGCTGAAAGAGTATAAGAAGGCTATTGGGTGGACGATTGCTGACATAAATGGGTTGAGTCCCTCTTTATGCATGCATAAGATTCTCATGGATGAACACTTCAAACCAACCCAAAAGGCACAAAGAAGATTGAATCCCCCAATGATAGAGGTAGTAAAGAAAGAAATCATGAAGATTTTGGATGCAAGTATGATCTACCCTATCTCTGACAGCAAATGGGTGAGCCTCATTCAGCCATTCCCAAAAAAGGATGGGGTCACAGTATTCAAAAATGATGAGGGAAAATTGGTGCCAACCCGTGTGCAAAACGGGTGGCAGGTTTGTATTAACTATAGGAAGTTGAATGCTTCAACAAGAAAGGATCATTTTCCCTTACCATTTATTGACCAAATGTTAGAGAGATTGGCGGGTAAATCCCACTACTGTTGCTTAGATGGTTTCTCAGGCTTTCATTAAATTCTGGTAGCCTCGAAATATCAAGAGAAAACCACCTTCACTTGTCCCTTTGGCACATTTGCTTATAGGCGTATGCATTTTGGCCTATGTAATGCACCCGCAACATTTCAGAGATGCATGGTGAGCATTTTGTCTGAATATGTTGAAAACATCATCGAAGTTTTCATGGATGATTTCACAATTTATGGAAATTCCTTTGATAAATGTCTAAGTAATCTAACAAAAATCCTGCAAAGGTGCATTGACATAGATCTTTGCTTAACTATGAAAAATGTCATTTCATGGTAGACAAGTGATTGATTTTAGGTCATATAGTTTCCCAAAAAGGCTTCCAAGTTGACAAAGCCAAGATTAACATTATCAAAAGTCTCCCTTACCCGAAAAATGTTCAGGATGTTTGTTTGTTTCTTGATCTTGCAGGTTTCTTTCGGCGGTTCATAAAATATTTCTCAAATATTACGATGTCGATGTGTCAATTACTCCAAAAAATGCTAAATTTGTGTTTACTTAACCATGCAAAGATGTTTTTGATCATTTGAAGGTTTTACTCACTACCACTCCAATCATCCAACCACCCAATTGGGATCTCACATTTGAGATCATGTGCGATGCGAGCAACACCGCGGTTGGGGCGGTGTTGGGACCAAAAGTAGATCGAGCTCACCATGTCATTTACTATGCAACAAAGACTTCGGATAATGCTTAAACCAACTACACCACAACATAGAAGGAGTTGTTAGCGATTATCTTTTCATTGGAGAAATTTCGATAGTAGCTCCTCAGAACCAAATTGATTATCTATTCAGACCATGCAGCTATAAAGCATTTACTACTCAAGAAAGATTCGAAGTCGAGGTTAATATGATGGATGTTGCTTCTACAAGAGTTCGATATAGAAATCAAAGATAAAAGTGGGAAAGAGAATTTGGTCGCAGATTATCTCAGTCGTATTATGCCACCCGAAGACACCACACCAATCTGTGATACATTCCCAGATGAGCATTTATTCGTTATCAAGGAAGCTCCATGGTAAGCAGAAATTGTAAATTATTTGGTCACAAATCAGTTTCCCCTAGATTCCAAACATTGGCAAAAGGATAAAATCAAGAAGGAGGCCAAGCGGTATGTATGGGATAAGCCTTACCTTTGGAAGTATTGTGCAGACCAAATGATCCGAAGGTGTGTTAAGCAAAAATAGGTATAATCCATCCTTAATTTTTTTGTCATTCCTATGCTTGTGGATTCTATTGGCCTACCATTTTTCACAACTCTTATGTGTTATGTGCACATTGTGATAAGTGCCAAAGATCCGGGTCCTTAAGCTCTAGGAATCAAATGCCCTTTACCCCCATTTTAGTATATGAGATCTTTGATGTATGGGGTATTGACTTTGTGAGACCATTTCCACCCTCTTTTGGTTGGTCATATATCTTGTTGGTGGTGGACTATGTGTCCAAATGGGTGGAGGCCAAGCCACCAGTACAAATAATTCCAAAGTTGTGGTGGAATTCCTTAAGGCACAGATTTTCTCCCGATTTGGCACTCCAAAGGCTCTGATAAGTGATCGTGGGACTCATTTTTGCAACCGGATGCTTGAATCCATTCTGAAGAAGTATGGGGTGACTCATAAAGTCTCAACGACCTATCACCCCCAAACTAATGGGCAATTAGAGGTCTCAAATAGGAAAATCAAAAGCATTTTGGAGAAACAGTCAATCCAAACCGCAAGGACTAGAATATAAGGCTGGATGATGCCTTATGGGCATACCACACTGCTTTCAAAACCCCCATTGGTATGTTCCCATACCAGCTAGTGTTTGGAAAACCGTGTCACCTTCCGGTTAATCTCGAGCACAAAGCTTTTTGGGCTGTAAAGAAATTCAACTTGAATGAAGATAAGGCGGGAAACAAAAGGAAGCTAGACATTCAAGAGTTAGAGGAGATCAGAAATGATGCGTATGAAAGTGAAATGATTTACAAAGAGAAGACATAGGTGTATCATGATAAAATGATCTCCCGTAAGACTTTTGCACAAGGAAAAAAAGTACTTCTTTACCACTCGAGGTTCAAGTTGATTTCAGGGAAGTTACGATCAAGATGGGTTGGTCTTTTCATGGTCACAAAAGTATTCGACCATGGTGCGGTGGAAATCACAAGCCAACAAACGGAGAAAACATTCAAATTCAATGGTCATAGATTGAAGCCGTTTTACGAGAGATTCGAGGTAAAGGATGATGAGATAGAAGTGGTTGGAAACCCCATGTACCAAGACTGAAGCATATTCGGGGGTCATGTCGAGCCAACGACTTAAAAAAAGGTCAGCTAACCGGGAGGAAACCCGGGGGTATTTTTATCTTTTCCTTTAAAAGAAATTCCAATTCCTTGAAGTTTTTGGTTTTTAATGTTCCAAATGCATTTAAACATGTTTTCAAATCACCAAACAGAACTCGGGATGCAAATCCATTTCTTTTGAATGAGTAGGGATTTTTCGGTTCAAAAAGTGGGAAGTGGCAAACAGAGCCGTACACGGCCCATGTTCATTTTTGCCTTATACTGAACATGGGTTGTGTTCAAGAGACGTAAATTTCTTTTGGATTCAGAGAGGTATACATCCCGTGTTTGTTTTTGCCTTATAATGAACACGAGTCGTGTTCGAGTGAGGCAAACATTTTCGGAGTCAGAGAGGTACACGACCCGTGTTCATTTTTTCCTTATACATACCAAACATGGGTCGTGTTCAACCATTCTTAGGAACTCTTTTACCTAACATGACCCGTGTGGATTTACACTAAAAGAACATGGGCCATATTCGCGCAGCAGACCACATGAATTTTAAGTTTTAAAATCGGGTTTCATCTCATTTGCCCATAAACACTTCCCAAAACAGTGTCTCTCTTTCCCAAGAAACCCACAAGGTCCGATTTTCTTCAAAATTCCCTTGATTCTCCATCAATTTTGGCTTAAATATTCAAAGGGCTTGATTTTCTTCTTTTACACTTCATCTCCTACATCTAAAACACCATTTTCTTGCATTTTCATGGTGGATTTTGGGGTTTTCACAAACCCTAGGTCCGAAAATCACTAAAGATTTTGGTGTTTTTTGTGCTTAAATCATTATGTAGGCAAGCTTGGGGAGGTTGAAGAGTAATTTCTCACCAACAACAATGCATATCCACAAATGATTAGGTACAATCTTTCCAATTCTTCACTTGTAGATTTGTGTTCTTAAGGTCAAATTGCATGTATATGTGGTCATTTTGGACTTGACAATCACTTGGAAATTGTTCAAAACTGAGTTTCCTGTGAATTTTTGGTGGCCAAACTCGAGTTAACTGGACCCGTCAACAGTTGACTTTTTGACCTGTTGACCGGTTGACTTTTTTGCCCCAAAAATTTTGCATATGGAAGGCGAGCATTCTAAACGACCTAGACACATTAAGTCGTCGGTCCGTCATCGTAGGTCCCCATCACCATCGCTTAGGTCCCCATCACCTCCACCCAATCCAACACTTGGTGGTGGGTTTGTTCCCACCCAATTCAAGTTGTTAAACTTGAGGCCTTTCTCTAGCACGCTCATACCATTCATAAATTTGCGCATGTGCCATCTCTTCGTGAGTTGCACATCTATAATCAAGTCCATACCTTGTTCTGGAACATTGGATGACAAGGGTTGTTGCAGGTCCACGAGCTTAGATATAAAGTCCCGATAGTCGAGTTCTTATCTTCACTCTATTTGGACCACAGTGTCCTATATTTCCAACTTATGAACAACGATCATGCCCTGTCCCTTGAGCAAATCAATGCCATTGTTGGGGCCCCCACAAAAAACACCTTTGGTCTCAATGACCCACTCCCAGGATACAGTGATCTTACGTGGTGGACTGACCTTACACATCGACATCCCTATGTCTCAAGTTCTGCTAAAGCATCATCTCTGATCCACATTATTGCTTCCCTTGTTGTCCCTATAGAAGAAAGAAGCACCATTAGTGCTCTTGAGCTTAAAATACTTTATGCGATGGCCCACCCAGATGATAACCTCATTCCCCACTATGACTCATTCCTTTGCAACAAGCTCACCTGCCTCAGCACATCACGGTCCGGAAAAATCTATTGTGGCGATATTGTTAGTTTGTTTGCTAAAAGTGCTCCAGTCCGGGCTCCATATCTCAGAATTCACCAACCGCTGTCCGGTGAATCCTACCTTACCACGGTAGTACTCGAGAGCATGAGGATGTTTCGGACGGAGTACGGGAACCACAATTAGACTGTAGGCCAAAACCACGACCCAAGGCTCCTCATCACTCCCGGAAATCGGAATATCCTTGCCCTCAGGCGGCCTACTAACTTCACCAACTGGAAATCCATGCCTTATCGTTTGCCCGTCTCCTTCTCCGGTGAGGAAGATGAGGAAGGTGAAAAAAGTGACAAGGCTGATAAGGGTGGCGGGGCGGCACCACAAAATTCTCCTCCCATGGGAAGAGCCATCTCATCCCATCATGTTGGGCACCCATCATATCACCAACAATATATGGAGCAATTCCAATCGATCCATACCCGCCTCGACACTTACCACCAAGATCTCGCGAACCTAACCCAAAGTTATTCCTCCTTCACCACTCAACACGCTCGGGATCAAGAGCGTCAGCGTAATCATGTGGAGGACTTTTGGGCTTAGACCCAAAATTTCGGCTATTATCCTCATCCTCCTCCGCAATAGGTTGTTCCCCCCTCTCCGAGCATCGGAGACGATGCTTATCTTTAAGCTTGGGGAGGGTAGAGTTGTACATTAGGTTCATTCATGCATTTTCACCAAAAAACAAAATTGCACCCTGCATTTTAAAATATAAAACCCTAATATATTTTTCCTGTTTGCTCTAGTTTTAAAGTTTTTGCATCCTATTATTTAAAAAATAAATAAAATAAATAAAATTATGCGAGATGATGACACTCTTTACATACGATAGCTCAATGAAATGAGAAAATGAGAAATCGGATAAAAACAAAATACCCAAAGCGACCGGATAGTTACTGGAAGTGTAGAATCACCTGTCATAACTAGGGGACCCAAACACCGTAATTCGAGACCCCAGCCTTAGATAACAAAAAAATGGCATACTGAAACGTTTTTGTGGGCGATAATAACAACTTTAGGATGTTTGCTTCTGAATGTTTAAAAAGAATCTTTATGGATAACTTTGGACCCACATAACGCAGACCTATTTGTTGACACGCATTACCCTCGCGGTAACAGAGAGCTTAAGTATCATATCCACACAGTCAAGAAAGAAGAATGTGTATAACTGTGATATCCAATACCCAAATAAAAAATTTCAAGCACTTAATCAAAGAAACTTTTAGAAATTCAAAAGTTGGTTGAAGAATTCAAAGCTCAAAATGAAGATGCAAATCCAAGTTCAATCAAATCAGAAGCCATCTCAAAATCAAATCTGGCGAATGAAGAACTGTGTGATATGATACTTGTGGCTCTCGAAAAAGTGAAAGCATAGGAGTAGGGCCCTTCGGGTGGGCTCACTGCTTCAGCAAAAGCTGACTTGCCGTGATGGGTTCTTAAGGATGCGCCGATTATGATTCTTGACCATCTAGTCTTAAGGACATGAGATCCCGAACTGTGTTATTTTCGTTCACAAGGCTAATTAAGATATGAAGTTTAAATAAAACTATGGTTGGATTATTTGTAAGTCCCAAATTTGCTTGATGTATCAATCAGATCTAATTGATGGTGCGAAATCCCAATCAATTGGATGATGCAAGATCAAAATTGAGAAGAAGGAGGAGAAGAAGATGATGAACTTGATGAAATTTCAATGTTTATATGATGAGAATGAAGCTCCAACATACAAGATCCAAAAAAACACACTAGTTCTCTCTCTAGCACATGATATGAGTGAATGTTCTCTTCATATGAGATTCTCTCACACACATACTCTTCTTCTCTCTCACTTTCCTCTCTAGAACACCTTGATTTACACACACTTAGCACCTTTTCTTGTGTTCTCTCTTCTCACACTATACATATATACATATATATATATATATATATATATATATATATATACCTAATGCCAAGCCCAAAATACAAGGCCTTGACCGAAAACCCATTAGTTGACCGAAAACACATTCACGGCCGTAGACAGGTTCACGGCTATGAACACCCATACAGCCGTAAACACCAGGTTGTTTACGGTCCTAAAATGAAAAATATAGTTGCCTAGAAAAATAAAGTATAAACCATATTTTTAACCTAACAATATCCCCCTTGGTTTATAACTTTCTTTTCTTTGACCCGACAAACTTCCCCTAAGAATGTAGCTGCCTTTTCTTGTCAATTTTCAATTGGAGCTTGGCTTCAGCTTGAATCTTCAATTTCTTCACAACTTCAAGATGAACAACTAAATCTTCTAACTGAATGACTTCATCTTGAACGGATGGGATTTTCTTCAAGATTTGATTTGAACGCACGTTGGGTGTGGAGGCTTCATGTAGAGATTCTTGAAAATTTGCACTTTCAACTTGAGAATCTTTAGAGAGAATATCAGAGAGAACGAATCTTCTAGATCACTTCAGCAGGTTCATAAATAGCAGCAAATTGATTGAGGAGGATTCAACGCAATCTGTCAACCCCAGAAGCAAGGTCAATCTGTACTTGAAGATTTTGTGATAGATTGGATCAAAAATATGGTTTATACTTTACTAAAGATGAAGTGTTTTGTTTGTCAAGAGAGTGATATTCTAATAATTTAGAAATAGACATTCCATTATTATAAATAAAAAAGTAATATGGTTAAAAATTTTAATTATTATAATAATTCTAAGATATAAAAAATGATTATAAATCATTAAAAACATTGTAAAAATTGATTTGAACACATATGATATTTTAAAATCATATTTGAAGGTTTATAAAAGATAAAAATGATATTAAAAACTTAAGTTAGATAAATATGATATTTTAATTGAAAATAAAAGTCATATATAAATTCTCTAAAAAATTTATGATTATTTTTAAACTGGATCGGATCAAATTCAGTTTTGTACGCCTTTAAAATCCCCTGTCACTTTTTGATTTAGTATTTATAGAATAACTCAAAGAATTGTTTGGGCCTTTTATTGTATATAAAATGCGAGTTCAATTTGAGGCCCGATATATGTGGTACAACAAATTTTGGCCTACCTAATGTCCAACTAGGAGTTATCACATACTAGTATATATATACATAATATAACTAATTTAGAAATAGTTATTTGATTTTAATCAACTAGTTTTAAATTGTTCAAAATTTTCGTAAAATCTATCAATTTAAAAGTAATTGATGTATTCAAATATTTAATACTTACTGACAACTAACAAAGAATGATTGGCAAATCGGCTTTTAATAAACTCTTCAATTAATATCCTGCTTTTCTTTTTAACCGGCAGCTTTTATTAAAAAAAATAATCATAAAATAAAATAAATTCCACAACGAGGAGCTACAGGAAGGCAAACAAGAAACAGAACCAAAGGTCACAACCAGTCAAAAAGGGTACCATTTTACCAACGCCACAAAGACACGTTACAATTTTTTTTTTCCTTTCTAAATTTAAACCACCCAAACACTAAGGAAATAACATTTTCAACTGTCATAATGGGAGAGAGAGGGAACATTGTTGAACCCTTTGTCATTCCTAGCCTTCCAAACGCACCAAATACAACCATAGACAATGTCAAGTAAAATACTATGTTTCTTTAGGCAATGCCCCTAACTAACTGCAAAGTTAATCAAAGCCCTAGAAAATCTATGTAGGGAGTTTTTGAACCAAGTAAGAATCCACTTCAAGAATTTTAACCGTGAAATGGCAAGTTGGCAACCTAAAGATATATGATCCACCGATTCTAGGCTCAAATCACAAAAATAACAGGATATAGAAGCAATGTTAACCCATCTTTTTGTAACGCCACAATAGAGGGGATGCAATCCCAACGAGCTCTTCAAACAAACCCAAACACCTTCAAATGGGCGAAATTAATCCAAAGAAGTGGAGGACCGGAAGCGATCAAAATCCTAGAGTCAATAAGACGTCTTAGGGAGGGAGCTCACGATGAAGGAACCATCATGAGAAATCGACATTTCCATTTATCCAGCTCATCAGAAGGGGAGAAGTTTTTAACTATCCCAAGTTGGGATAGTTCTTGGGATTCACAAGGATTAACATGAATCTATTTCCAACAACAATCCCCCCCCCCCCCCCCAACCCCCTTGCAGAGATTACGATCATAAATGTAGGACGATTTTAGTCTATCGAAAGCATGTAAGGACAGGAAATGAAGCTTAAGGGGCTTGAACATGTCCACTAATTGAGCCAGAAGAGTGTCTCCACACGATTCGAAAGAACATTTTTGAACTCCAAACCAGGATCTTTAGTATCTTTAATAACCTTAATGATATTATTCAAAACGCCTCGTATCGACTTATTTTCGAAGTTATACAAGGACTTCCTATTGAGTTGGTGATACCACCACTCACTATAGCCCAAATCAAGTTTTTATCCGTCTTAAGTCTCCAAATCCATTTCATAATAAGGGCAATATTTAGAGCCCTAAGAGACCCCACACCGAGACCACCATGTTCATTTGGTGCGATAATTTATTCCAACCACCTAGTGGATTTTGTGGTTATCCTCACTGCAACCCCATTACAATCTCCAACGAAGTTTTCTAGCAAACCTATAACACAAAGAGCCACCTTGAATATGAGAAGAACCGAGGAGGAAGACCTTCAAGAACTGACTTAACCATAGTTAAACGACCACTAAATGAGAGTGTTTTGGCCTTCCAACTACTAAGCTTAGATTGAACCCACTCAATAATAGGATTCCAATTTCTTTTTAAAGACATGTGTTTTCACCAAGTAACCCAAGTTATGTATATCTTGTCACGAAGATAATAGCCACACTTATATTGTACATCATAATATGAAATGAACAAGAAGGTGTGGTTCCATGTACCTCTTCATTGAATGATAATGATTATTAGAGAACGTTAAGGTTGTTGTTAGAGGGCATGACACAAAATAATACATGTCACATCCATAATTCTTATAGATAGGGTTTCAAGCATGATATTCGGGTGCTTATGATCACTCCACATGTACTTACATCGATATGCCATTGGGTAATTTTGTTATGCCCACTGAATACAATCGTTGCTACCTAACATTTCAAGAAATTCGTGTTTGGATTCATGTTTGGCATACAAAAATTATATGTCATGCACTCGTGCATAGTCGGTTTACCCTAATATACGTCTACATACAACACAATGGTATTTCCACAAAAGAGTTTTAAAGTTTCACTTGAAGTTCTTTTTGATATATTCTGGCATATTTTGACATATTCAGGTACTCATCATATGTGTCAGCAACTATCAACAACTATCACGTATGCAAGTTGACGCATTGTAGATGTGCATTTCTATAATGAAGTAAAATTTATATGGTTCCCATCGTCCTAAGTTAACCTAAACCATGGATAATGTGTCTCAATATCAACTATTCATACAAATATTTATCTTCGTATTCAGGCCTTTTTGTGAACGCCTTATCACCAAATATGATATCTGGAGCGAAGTAATTATACAAAAGACGATCATGTGTAGCTTCATGATCCTTGTGAAGACGAGTTCTTTTATTTATTAGCCCACTTGAACTTTCATTATCTTGAAAAAAGTGACATAACTTGAGCATTTGTATTCTATAACGTGCATGTTACACGCATCAGATGAATACATAACTTCTAAACTTTTTGATGATGATAAAACACGTCTATTACGCACATATTTGTTAGGCACATAATCTAAACTATATGAATCCATTGTTTAATTGTAAAAACCTGACGATTTTTTTAATTTAAATTAAGGAGATAGAATGGTTATTTACATATTAAAAAAAAAAAAAAACAAGCTTGGGATATAGTCGGTGCTGGCTTAGAATACGCACAAAATGATCGGGGAAAACAACTCGAGACTTTTACTCACTACTATTTCTCAAGGTAGTTTGCCTCGTACTCCCGGCGTGAATGTTCTTTTTGAGCTCTATTTCCGGCTTTCCTGCTATGACACCTTCCACCCCTAACAAGTAATAATACTTAATAATAAACATGTGAATAAGTAATTATTTATAATTCACTAAAAAAAAAAAATCGTCCATTTAATATCTTTGGGTGGTAGGGCACGGTCATGAATGTTTTGTTGGTTGGGCTTGGAGCATAACCGGTGATCATTTTTTTGAAACTCCAAACATCATTGTTATCCTCAGTTGTATAGATATAAGGTAGTTTTCGATTGTTGTAAGCTCTATTGAGTCTGATCAATTTTTGTTATTTCTTTTAAATTGTTTTGCAATTTCCGATTCTATTATTATTGTTATATTCAATTATTAACTTATTATAATCAAATGTTTTTTTTTTTTGTAATTTAAATAGAGTAATCAATTTTTTATAGGAACTAAAGCTTAAATTTATGTAAAAACATCCTTTATAACCGGTCAGGTTCTTAGAGTCGGATTCTGAATGTTCGTGAGTGTTTTTTTGGGTTTTTGACAGTTTTGCCCATAGGCTCTTTCAAGTCTCTACAACTATTTTGAAGGTCCACATGGTTTTTTTTTGGCATGATGCATTTGCTTTGTCTTACTATTGTGTTGCTGTTTCTGGGATTTTGACGCTTTTATCTCTTCATTTGAAATCATATGTTTTTAGTGTTCTGTTGCTTTTGTGTAGCTTCCCACTTTTGTAGTTTTGTTGGTGGGAAAATGCCTTAAAAGACCAATTAAGTTTCAAAAACGTTCATATTACCCCAATTACGTTTTTGTTGTTAAAAAAAAAACCAACGAAATAATGTTTTTTATTATAAATCCAAATAAAGTTACGAATAAAAATAACATTTTTTAATGGTGACCGGCATGTTGCAGGTAAACGATGAGTTGGCATATTTCTGTTGAGTTGGCATATGTGTTGTTGAGTTGGCATATGGTTGGCTACGTGGCATTTGTGTTAGATAGATATAGGGCATAATGGGGGATACGACTCCTTAATCAATCGACTTCTTCAATCGACTTCTTCCACATGGCTTCGGGGGATACGACTCCTTAATCAATCGACTTCTTCAATCGACTTCTTCAACATGGCTTCTTCGTCTCGATCCTCCAACTCATGGTCAAGATCAAAAATTTCCAAGTCAAAAAGCACAATTGATAAGGCACATCCTTGTGATTGTGGGTTTCCTTCTCGCATCTGGATATCAACAACAAAGGCAAATCCTGGTAAAAAATTTAGGGTTTGTCCTAACTCTGTGGTAAGTATATATCTAAAAGCTTGTTCTTGTTTGGGTCCCTTTTTGTTTTTCATGCTACAATATTGTTTGTTTATGTTATAATTGAAGATGAAGGATCCAAAGGATAAATGTGATTTCTGGGAATGGGTTGATGATGATGAAGAAATTATAACCAAGAACGAGAATAAGAAAGATGAAGAACATGATTTCAATACTGAAGTGAAGATTGCAATATTGGAACATGATTTCAGTGAGTATAAGATGAAGATTGATAAGGAATGTAAGAGTTTTAGAAAGGAATTGGATAAAATGAAATGTTTAGTGTTGATGTTTGTTGTTTTGTTTGTAGTGAAGTACATGATTTAGTGTTAAGTTTATTATGTAAGGAAAATGTACTTTGAAATTATCAGGATATGTATATTCAAAGTGGTTGCATTGTACTCATGTAAAATGGTTACGAAGTGGGAATGAAAAGAAGGTATTTGTAAAGACTGATACACATAGAAGGTGTTTATGAAGGCTAATAGTCCATAAAAGTAACATACTTTTTATTGATTGATAATAGGAAGGGCAAAATAGTCCATAAAACCTGTGCACTTTATCAAATGATAATAACAGGGACAAAATAGTCCATAAAACATGTGTTTGACATTATGCATGTAATTTGTGTTGTAAATGATTTTTAAACACAAGGGCAGTTTTATTGAAAACACACATAATAGCAACATACTTTTTATTGATTGAAAATAGCAAGGGCAAAATAGTCCATAATAAGATTACACTTTATCAAATGATAATAGGAAGGGCAAAATAGTCCATAAAACCTGTGCACTTTATCAAATGATAATAATAGGGACAAAATAGTCCATAAAACATGTGTTTGACATTATGCATGTAATTTGTGTTGTAAATGATTTTTAAACACAAGGGCAGTTTTATTGAAAACACACATAATAGCAACATACTTTTTATTGATTGAAAATAGCAAGGGCAAAATAGTCCATAATAAGATTACACTTTATCAAATGATAATAGGAAGGGCAAAATAGTCCATAAAACCTGTGTTTGACATTATGCATGTAATTTGTGTTGTAAATGGTTTTTAAACACAAGGGCAATTTTATTGACAAAATAGTCCCACAAAACAGTTTTTACCAATTTTAACATAGTTTTAACAAATAGGGGCAAAATGGTACATTGTTATAATATGCATAAAAGGTAATAAACTACATATGAAAGCATAATTAAACCACATAATCAAGCATGTGCACATGGCACTAAATGTTGGTAAATGTGCACAACACCAAAAGATAAGCCTAAGCATCAAAAAGACAAGCCTAAGCACCAAAAGATGTGCACTAAGCACCAAAAGATGTGCCATTTCAAAGTATCTGACATAATCCTAATAGAACACACTTATCCTAGTTTATAGTAACTGGATTTTCAGTACTTTCCCCACTTCCATCTTTTGTTACCACCTTCTTCCTTAACTTCAGTTTCGTGATCCTCTCAGAAGGTAATCGCCTTTTCTTCGCAACAAAATGCTGAAAAAAACAGGTTGATGCTGATGGTGATGATTTTCTTGATGGTCAATCTCATCCTCTTGTTGTTCAATTTCATCCTCCTGGTGGTCTTCAATATCGCCTTCTTCAACAGCCTCTTCTTCACCAATTCCAACTTCACTAACCCCATCTTCATTGATCCTATCTTCATTGACCCCATCTTCACTAATCCCATCTTGACTAATCCCTTCTTCAACATCCCCTTCACTAATCCCTTCTTCAACATCCCCTTCACTAACAGTTGCTTTATTTGCTGCATTGTTAAAACAAAAATAATAATTATTATACAAATGTAGATGAATGAATAATCAAAATAAAAACGAACCTTCTTTGAGCAATGGACATCGCCTCTTGTTGTGTCCTTCTTGATGACAATTACTACATCTTGAGATGGACATCCCTGTCTTGTTAATTTTATGCTTTCCTTCATTTTCTGTAGGACATTTCATTCTGTTTACTTTGGGCCTTCCTGGCATTCTCCTACGCCGAGGTGGTAATATGGGATCAAATAGAACATCAGGCCACATGTTAGCTCCATTTATTGGTTTGACTGGATACCTATAGCAACTTCCAAACATGCTTGTTTTAAACCATACGGCTACATAGTCCTCTGCATTTCCATTCAGGTATAATATAGCAGCAATGGCATGCACACAAGGGATACCACTGAGTTGCCAGGCTCTGCAGCCACAAGTTTTGCTTTCAAGGTGAACAGCATAAACTTCATGGGCTAATTTCACTTCATATTCTTCCTCGCCACTTGGAATAACATCCCAGTACCTGAAATCATATTAAGAAGGTAAGTTATTTCATATTAAATCACTTACAATTAAATAATATACCTTTGTTCTTCTTTCATCTTCTCAATCCTCTTTTAATAGAGGGGCAGATTTCCATGTCCCACTTATGCCCCTTAATCTTTTGATTGTACATCCTCTCCATCACGTACAATCTGATTTCTTCCAGCATTGTTATTATTGGTTTCTTCCGGGCCTCTACAATTGCTGCATTGAAAGATTCAGATATACCGTTTTCCACCGCATCACAACAAGTCTGAGGTTCAAAGAATGCTCTGCACCATGTATTTGGGTCTCTTTCTATCAGGTGCTCATAAGCTTCTGTGGACATTGTACGAATTTCCCTCATGTATGATCGGAAATTGGAATCGGTTGTAGCCTTTGCAGCACTCCAAAATAACCTCCTAAACTCAACACCCGTGAACCCCTTCTTCTTAAAGTTGGCATAGATGTGTCGGGCACAATTCCTATGCTCACATGATGGTGCCCTTTCCTTAACAGCCTCCATTAAACCCTACAAGGTGATAACAAATTTCAGTTTTAAAGTACATAATAACACATAATAAAGTAAGTAAAATGTAAACTATAACATACCTTGTGTTGGTCTGAAATAATTGTAAGACCCCTACCATCTCCCATCTCAATGTCCTCAAGTAGAAGATCAATGAACCACATCCAAGTTTCCTTGTTTTCAACTGGCACAACAGCCCATGCTAGAGGATACATTTGGTTGTTTGCGTCCCTACCAACGGCTGTTAACAACTCACCTCTGCAAATACCCTTCAAAAAACAGCCATCAACACCGATAACCCTTCTACATCCTTCAATCCAGCCATCCTTGATAGACTTCAGGCAAATATACATCCTTTTGAAGTAGTGTGTAGCATCAGGCGTATGATTTGTCTCGATCAAGACTGTTGACCCAGGATTAACCCTCAATAACTCAGCACCATAATTCCACAGTTTCTCATAATGGCTTACCAAATTGCCTGAAATCTCATCTAGTGCAAAGTACTTGGCATTTCTACACTGCCCAAGACTTACCTTGAGACCATAGTCTTTCCTAACCACTTCTGCCATTTTCCTATAGCTAAACTTAGGCCTTTCCAAAATGTCAGGTATTAACATTTTTCCAATCCACTTATACGTAACAAGACAACCCAATTTTTGTTGTCTAGCACAATTATGTTTATCAATTAGTGACTTGATCTGGAATGAATTTTCCTTGTTCATGGGACTAGCCCATAGTCTAAAAGGGCAAGATGGCTTCCCTTTTTCATTTTTACTGCACCTTACTAACAATGCTTTTGCCTCATTTTTTTCATACCACAATGAATAACCCTTAGACACAGCATAATTTGTTAACATATGTTTCAGTTCATCTCGATCAGAGAATTTCATACCTAACTCAGGCATCATAGTGTCCCATTTTTGGTTTGGATCGTGAATAGGATGTTTTTTTACCTTACCACCAGCTTCTTCCTCTATGCCTCTTTGTGGAATAAGGTTCTTCTGTGACAAAAAAGGATCAACAACTTCAGGCCATTGAATGTCCTCATCATCAGCTTCATGGTCCACCGATAGATCATCCGATAATACCGAGTCCACATCATCTTCATATGTTTCAGTACCACTATCCCATTCTTCAGCTTTTTCTTCTTCAATCCAATCTAGTAAGGGTTCATGATGGTCATCAATGTAGATACTTATTTGATTATCATCATCATCAAACCCAGCATCAAGGAACCTAACATAATCATCTTCATCCCTGAGCTCCCTTAACCCATCTACGAGGGGCCGATTTTTAAGACAGTAATACATATCCCGACATCTATTGTTGATCAATTTTTGGAGATAGGTCTTGAACTTCTTGAAATCCATGTTACGTACATCTAGCCCCATAACAGGTACTTTATCAGGATGAAAGTAAACCAAGGGATTAGGAGAAAAAACACCTTGATGGTAGACATCAATGTTGAGTGAGTCACGAGACACGCTGGCTGCACGAGACATCAATGTTGAGTGAGTCACGAGACACGTTTGCTGCTGAGAACCCTTGCTGCACAATCGACTAACTTTCCTTCACCTTCTGTAAAAATCAATTTCACTTACACGAGTTCACCGTTCCGTTATGTAAGAACCCTAGATATCGATAACTTTCCTTCACTGAGAACCCTTGATGGTGAATCGATATCTTGTGGCTATTATGTGGCACTTATGTTTGATGTAATGTGGTTTAATAATCCACGTCAGATTATCACCGGTAAACAAAGAAACGTAACCCACAAATGCCGGTCACCATTAAAAAATGTTATTTTTATTCGTAACTTTATTTGGATTTATAATAAAAAACATTATTTCGTTGGTTTTTTTTGAAAAACAAAAACGTAATTGGGGTAATATGAACGTTTTTGAAACTTAATTGGTCTTTTAAGGCATTTTCCCTTTTGTTGGTAGTAGCCTTGTGTTTGTACTCTTTTCCATCTTCCTGCAGCTGCAGGTGAGTTTTATTCTAATGATTTGCTTGTCATTAAAAAAGAATCCAACATAGTAAAATCTCTTTGTTTTGTTTAGTTATTTTAATTGTATGATTATGTCATTCTAGGAGAATATTCTGTTATTACCCTCCAAATCATTGATTATCCATTGATTTTTACCAAATATATCAATGAGAAAGTTGAGATTTTGACGTTTGTTTGTTTGAGTACCATTGATCTTACTCAATATATGGCTAGAAAGAGAACACCATACCTTATTTTTTGTTTATTCAGTTGTTTTAACGACTTCCTTTTGTAATTAGCAGGCTGTGTAAGAGAATATGAGGGAGATCCCATGGGGTATTAAAATTTTCATACATACACTTAAGAGCTTTTACTGTTTGTTCCATCTTAGTATGTCATAAGTAGTGCCTCTTGATTTTTTATGATTTAGTTTGTAAGTTATGCATATTTCTAGATACATTGTTTTTGATACATGCTTGAAACCAATGAGCTTTTATGATAAGTAAACACTCAAGTACTCATTTTATATATTGATTTTTTGTACTTCTTGCCTACAATTGTGTTTTTGTTATGGGTAATTGATTTTTTGCAAATGACTATATATAGATACTGTTTAGATAATGTTTGGAAGTGTTAGTGTTAATATACGCTGCTTTTTTAAATAAAAAGTTGGTTTCACCTTTCTTTTATAAGTATATGATGTATATGACTTAAGTCTATTGTGCATTTTATGTATAAAAGAAGGGCATTATTAATCTTTTTGCCCAGGGCATGGAAAACCTATGGAGCGGTCCTGACTGGAAATCACAGTAAACAAAAATATGTGAAGACAAAAGTTTCTACAATATATTTTTGTTCATTTTTACACTTGGAAATGAAAATATAGACTTTGGAAGTCAAAAAAACATGCCAACTTCTTAAGTGAGTGATTGTTTCACGTTCAAAAAATGATGTAAATACCAAAAGGTCTTTGGGCTAGCGGTAAGGAGTGATTCTCTCAAATGAGAGGTCATGGGTTCAAATCTAACTAAGAAATATAGGTGGTGTTTAGGATTAAATTAGGAGTAAGATAGTTTACCGTATAAAAAATGATGTAAATGACACTTTTATTGAGTTCAATGGTCTATAACGCTAGAAATTAGAATAACAGCCATTTATTTACTTTAAATGTTATTATTTGCGTGACTTGTTCATTCTAAAAGAATTGACAAAATTTCACAAATGGTCCTAATGCTTTACACTTTTTTCTTAAAATAGTCCTTATGAAATCTTTTTTTGCATAGATGGTCTTTCCGGAGCAAACATTACACACAAATAATCTTTATGACTAACTTTGTTAACAGATTATGTTAAGTGTTTGTGAAATCACAAAAACACTCTTTATTTTTTTGTACACAAATGGTCCTTAACTCTCTCTTTCTCTCTGTGAAAAAATAAACCGACACCCACACCCACTTCTGCCACCCCCATTGTTTACCTTTTCACGATTGGAACCCCTCATCCAATTGCCTACACCATTGAGTTTCACCCACTGTTGTGGTACCTAAACCCATATTCTTTCACATTGCTTTGGTGTATAACTGCACCTCGATTTCCATGGAGTGATAGTTGGAATAAAACCCATCATCGACCTCCCCTGTAACCAGTCATGAATTCACCATCGTCCACCATTTCCGATGAGCTGAAACCATCCATTTCACTCTATGTCTACCTCTCGTCCTCCTTTGAAATCGATTCAGGCTTATTAAGCAAAAAACAAAGAACATCGGTTTGAGATTGCAGGTGACGTTTTAGAGAAGACGAAAATGTTGCAAACCCCGATTCCGATTGTTAGATTTCAAATCAAACGTTATCATTATGTTCCCCTTGATGTCGAAGTCGAGTGCAGTTCGGAGAAAATGAGGGGGTCTTATGAATTAATAAAAATATTGAAGGGATTCTTCACAATCCGACATTTTTGTCTAATGTTGAAGTTGGAACTGAGATCAACTCCTATACATTAGAGTTTGTGTTTGCAGTCCTCATATGAATCAACGAACTCGTATGTAAATATGTGAGAGATAGCATATGCTTGATGTGCGCTTGTGGAGTTCGTGTGTGTATGTGAAATCTGACCTAAAATTGACTCCCAAGTGGATTTAAAGGTGGTCTTATGAATTAATAAAAATATTGAAGGGATTCTTCACAATCCGACATCTTTGTATGATGTTGAAGTTGGAACTGAAGTCGACTTCTATACATTAGAGTTTGTGTTTGCAACTCTCATATGAATCAACGAACTCGTATGTACATATGTGAGAGATAGCATATGCTTGATGTGCGCTTGTGGAGTTCGTGTTTGTATGTGAAATCGGACCTAAAATTGACTCCCAAGTAGGTTGAAAGGTGTCTACGCTTGTGTGTGTTAGCCTTATTCCTCAAGTCGATTATCTAAGGCATCATCTCCTCAGTTTCAATCATATTTTTATATTTTCAAGATTTGATTGCATGTGTTTTAATTTGATATACTTAAGTTTTTATTGCATTTTTTTTTTGTAGAAACAAGTCTATTAGAAACAATTTTTTTATTGTAATTTGATTCCTATAAATGGTTTTTGATTGCCATTTGATTAGTAGAAACAATTTTTTCATCTCCTTGTTCAATTCAAGTTTTTTATATAGCCATTTAAACTTTCTACAAAGTTAGATAAAATCACAAGTCCCTTTGGAGTCACGTCAATGATTCAAATTTGGTGCTTGGTGCGACTAGTTCACCATCTAAAAATTTTACATAGCTGGACTTATAAAATGATAGCTCGTGTGTCATAATTGACAGGGAAATAGATGAAGTTCGTCAAGGAGAATATATATCGGGCAGGTTTCCTTCAAGATACACAATTCATGTGTAAAAAAATCAAAGTAATAAAAAATCAGAAAAATAATTACATCATGAATTTAAGAAAATCTTATTGCAGAAAACCTTTTAAAATTCACAAGAAATTAAAGAAAAAAATTACCTCGAAAACTAATGAATCTTATAATAGATATTTGGATCGATAAAACTACAACTTTGATCAACAACTTCACTTAACCAGTCAGCTATATAAGAAAACTGAAATCTCAAAAATTTTAATTAATAATCACTATCAAATTTTCGCAACTTCACGTAGGTTATGCATAAAATCTCAAACACTAGAAAAGACTTACTAGATTAGGACTTTAGGAGGGCCAATTAACTCAATCACCCTCTTTAAGACCGATAAGAGATTTAGTACATTAGAGGCTCATTTGAAATTTCAGAAAGAAGGAAATTAGGGGGAGCGGCTGAGTTAGTATGAGAGAAAATGGAACACCCTCGAACCAGGACGGTGGAAACATCTGGGGGAAAATGATGTCATTGTATTTGTTCATCAATTACACAAAAGTGACATAAAAGTAAGACATTCCAAAATGCAGCAAATCCGGATCTTAGGTACCTGCTTACTGGTTCCCTGAGAATACAAGTCATTTTGAAAATCATCAAAATTGAATGTTGGCGAGTTCATAATCATATTTTTATGAAAATGTTTGTAACATCTTTGATTGAAAATAGTTGGTGTATCTCCAGAAAATCCAATATTTTTTATGAAAATGATTTGTAAGCCTTGTTTCCAAAACTGTGAATATATGCATGCATGTCCTTGGTTTTCTTTTGTTTTTAATTGTAAAGTATATGTTCCAAGAAAATCCAATATTTTCTGTTGTATATAAGATGTGGTCTTAAACCCTAGACCAGTAGTGAAAAGCAATAGTGTACTGGGAGGAAAAATGCAGTTTTATATTTTATAAAACCTGTAAAGTGTAAGCTTCCAGTAAATCAAGATGGTATTGTTAATCCCTAAGTTAGTTGTTATAACCATGCTTGATGTGAATGTTATGCCTGTTACAATGTGCTTGGGGTGTCAATCCCCGTATATATCTATACACAATTATCTCACTCTCCCTCTAAGAGACTCTGGTATGCATGACTTAAAATGTACACTAGGTAGGTACGATGAAGATAGTGTCTCACTAGAGCCTTAATGGACTTTCGTGAACATTGACTCCTTTATTTGAATAATGAAAATGACGTTACTAGTGTAAATTTATGACTGGAGTTTTATGACACGCAGTCCACAAATTTCATGACATACATTTATTATCCATGCAGTTCATGACATACATTCATAAATCTGTTTGTATACCTTTTTGGTTGAACTATTTTTAACACTTTATAAAAATAGTCATTTGTGTTTATGTCTAGTTGTAACATATGTTGTAAAATAACATAATATCTTGGGTTTTAACCCATCAAAATAGTGACAACTTAATTATAACTATTTTACAACAAAAAGTTGTTTGTAAAATAAAATATCAACTTTGTAGTTTGTTTAACATTCTATTATCGGTTTGAAAGTTTTGTAACACAAACTATTTTATTTTGATTTGACTCTAGCAAGTCACAATTTTTACAAAAACACATATAATAACCTTAAGATTTATTATATTCAAATT